GACTTCGAAACTTGAGTTTCAGAGTTTTCTTTGTCCTCTCCTATTTTTTTATTTTTTGGTTTACAGCTTGATTCCACACTGTATTTTCGGTACAAGTATGGAATTTTCAGCATGGATATCGGCAGCCCAAATTTTGCGGGCTGACCATAGATATCAGGTGTGCGCCGGCGTCGGCTCGAACCCCAGACTATGTGCATGGTCGGCGAGAGTCCTAACCACTGTGCCACCGACTTCGAAACTTGAGTTTTAGAGTTTTCTTTGTGCTCTCCTATTTGTCGTCGTTGGGGTAGTAGAATTTTCCAGATATCTGGCTGGACAGGTGTTGAATCATTCCTATTACACGTGTTGGCAGTTGATTCGATAAACAAAGCTTCTGTTATCAATCTCTCCCTCCCTACACCCTGTGACATTAGATTTTAAAACTGTACTTTCTATCCCATCCAGCCTATTTTATGGTTGTGTGTAACTGCATGAAGTGCTATTTTTTTCCTTCACGTTCCCAGTGGAACAGAGGGCTTCAAGCTAGTGGCTTGAAGTTTCTGTAGCAGTGCTTATTTTGCAGGATGGGGTTTCTAGCCTCATGCACAACCTTTCCTCTTTGCCAGCATTATCTCTGACTTAGCGAGGTAAAGGAGTGCGTCGGTGGCCGGGAATCGGATCCTGAACCATGTGCATGGTCGACGAGGGTCCTAACCGCTATGCTACCGACGCATTTACTGCTATAGCTGAACTATTCTCTAGATTTACCTTACTCTATTCTATAGTACTAGATGTAGTTACACACAACCATACAATAGGCTGGATGGGATAGGATGACAGTTTTAAAATCTAATGTCACAGGGTGTAGGGAGGGAGAGATTGATAACAGAAGCTTTGTTTATCGAATCAACTGCCAACACGTGTAATAGGAATGATTCAACACCTGTCCAGCCAGATATCTGGAAAATTCTACTACCCCAAAGACGACAAATAGGAGAGCACAAAGAAAACTCTAAAACTCAAGTTTCGAAGTCGTGTGATTATAATTGATGAAATGATTATGAACTACAATAAATTTTCTTCTAAACGTCATCCAGTAAATAATACTGTTTCCCCACTGTGTGACACGTTTAATAAACAAACTAATATGGAATTACTTGCTACCACAGTGATCAAGTTTTACACATAATATCTCATATTGAACTGTTGAATAAATCGACTAGACGAATAAAATTAGCTGAACTTCTTTTTTCGTTGCTACCTAACAATTTATCAAAGTCAGATGTCACTGTTGGGAAGTGAATGAAGGATAAAAATAATCAAACTTCTCAAATATCAACAAAATACAAAGAATCGATAGTCTTTATGTCTATTTCCCACAAATATAAATAAAGGTAAATGTTGCACTGCTAGCTTGTACTCTAAGCAGTTGATATTTAGTATTTACATATACCATCAACAGCATGTTCATGGTATTTAAATAAAACTTAGTGAATTATTTTACATTGATGGTTCTTTACTGTCCAATCACGTTTAAATGAACAATTCGCATTGTAAAGACGAAAGAAATGTAACATTCATTTCTAGACCATAAATCAACATTTTTAACTTTCGTCTAATTGAAATCTACTCACATGCGTACACTGACTTCTAAAGAGCCTTATTTACAATCAAGTTGAATAACTAACTACCTCAGAAAATTGACCATTGAGATATTTGACACATCGATGGATATCTAAAGCAAAAGCAATGTGCTGTTGTGTCACCATTCATTTTAGCGACTAACATAGCGACATTTTTCAGGATTGGTGAATTTGGAAAATAGCATAGCTAACTTACACAACATATGGAATAAATTGATTTAGAATACACCAGAAAAATGGTTTATCAAAAGAACACCACGCCACACTTAAGGAATTAACCGAAAAAAGATAATCTTATTATTCTTAAATCTGATAAGGGAGAAGGCGTTGTCATTATGAGGAAATCGGATTATCAAAATAAAATGAATGATATCCTCAAAGATCAGTTCAAATTTCTGGTGGACAATGCTACTGATAATGTGCTGCTTGTGGAAAAGCAGATCAATCGTCAGCTTCAGACTTTACTGATGCATGGTTTTATAAATGAAAAACTTTATAAACAACTTAAAGCAATTGGGTCACATACTCCCCGGCTTTATGACCTTCCGAAGATCCACAAAACTGGGAACACACTGAGACCCATATTGGACATGTCGAGTTCTGCATACCATAAAATTGAGAAATGGATTACAGAGGTCCTTACACCTGTAAGAGATATTATGAAATCATTCTGTAAAAATTTCGTTTGATCTGACAAATATTCTAGACACCTTGAACATTAAGGAAAAGGTTATGTGTTCAATTGACACAGAATCTTCATTCACCAATGTTCCCCTTCATGAAACTGTTGATTTCATTTACGACTGCATCACAAGCAATGAGATAAACTTACCTATTCCTTTCACTTACATCAGAGACATCATCTGAATGTGTACAGAGAATACTAGATTAACCTTCCAAGAAAAGACATACAAACAAATCGATGGTTTTGCGATGGGGAGCCTTCTTGGGCTCCTGTTAGCAGATGTTTTCATGTCGAAGTTGGGGAGACAAATGCGAGGTATGCTTGGAGAATTTATGCTGTATAAACGTTATGTAGATGATACTCTCATTATTGGTAATAATAGTAAATCTATTGAAAACTTTACTACCCTATTTAATCATATTCATCCAAATATTCGAGTGACTTCCGAACTAGAAACGAATAACAAACTCGGTTTCCTGGATAGTACAATGATCAGGAGAGATGATGGAACCACTCAGCGATCTATTTTTCGTAAACAGACTTGAAGTGGACAATATCTTCATTTTACCAGTTTTGTTCCTATCCAGTATAAACGTTACCTAGTGAAATGTCTGTTCTCAAAGGCCCGAAAAATATGCACGAGTGACACATTGATGGATGAGTTTCGACATTTACATTCAGTTTTATTAGTTAGTGGTTATCCGGAAAACTTTATCACTTGTCACAGTAAAGAAACAGCTTCTGTACCAAAGAAAGCTATCTTTATTAACCTACCATTCATGGGCGACCAGATTATGCAGTTGACAGCTCAAAGACTTCGGTCAGCCATCAAACACACATCCTACGCCGCATCTCTTTTTCTCATTTGCGCACATTTTCGATCCCTGTAAGATTAAAGGACGAAATTCTATGGACTCTATTTCAAACTGTACCACAATTTTACCTGCAGCTGCAGTGACACCTATATAGGTAGAACCAACAGAATGTTCCAATGATATTAGATGCTTGGAGGCAATCGGCCACAGGAAGACCTGAACCTAGGTTTCGTGCTAGTTGGCACTCGCCAGTCAGCAAGGAGTATCTGCAACCTTGAAGGAACTCATGTCCCTTCTGAGATTTGAACCCGCGTCACTCAGTGCTGCAGTCAGAGACGTTACCAATGAGCTGTTCGGGTTGTCGATTGACCTCCTGTAGGACTGTAGTGGGTATTTGATTGTGTCCACTAGTGTCCAATCAAAATACCCACTACAGTCCTACAGGAGGTCAATCGACAACCCGAACAGCTCATTGGTAACGTCTCTGACTGCAGCACTGAGTGACGCGGGTTCAAATCTCAGAAGGGACATGAGTTCCTTCAAGGTTGCAGATACTCCTTGCTGACTGGTGAGTGCCAACTAGCACGAAACCTAGGTTCAAGGCTTCCTGCTGATTGCATCCAACCATTTAATATCATCAAATCAATGTGCACTGTGATGTCCAGCTTCCTAGAATGGTGGCCACATTGCAAACCTGACTGATGAAATTCAGACCGCACCAAAGAAAGGACTAGAAACGTCACACTAGTTACTAGTGTCCAATCAGAATGTTCCAATGTCATCGAAAAGAACATGTTCCAAAATGGCTACTAAATCATATAGAAAATCCCAACGCGATTAATCTGAATATAAATCCAGCATCATCAATTGCAAAACACTTATTAATGTCAGGTCACAAAATCAATATTAATGACTGTTGCACAATTATTTCACATAACTCTAATTCAAGCTTGGTTATTTAAAGGTGATGGAAGCAAATAAAGTATAATTATGTTTTAATAGTTTACACACAATGATAAGTTTTGTTATTGGTAATATTTCGAGCAAAATTACTGCCCGTGTTCACACCACTGTTGGAATTGTTTTATGGAAGCACTTTGGATTAATCACATATAGCTTAAACTGTGTGTACAAAAAACAATAGACTTCAATCTCCACCTACCATGGACAACATGACCTAATTAAATATGATTGGTCATTAGTATGTACTTTTGTTTTATATAACTGAGTAATTGTCATGAACTTTATTTTATTATTGTGAACCATGTTAGTTTTAAAGCGGTTGTAAAGAAACTAAGAAATGACATCATCATCTCGCGAAATTTGTCTTCTTAATGCCTCATTCAAATTGATTTAGCTCTAAAGTCACAACATATATGGTGACATGAAATACTGAGATTTATACGAGAAAACTGCACGGAAAACCCAATTCAGTCTGAGGATTAATCCCAGATTATCTTTTTTTAAGAAATTTAACAGGATAAATCCTACCAAGGACTGCAAACACTTTTCACAGTCATGATTACTGCCTCGCATAACTTATCGCCGATACATTCTCAATTTCACTGCCTAAAACTGCTCAGGGACACTGACTAGTTATTCTGCATTTAAGCCTTTGAATGTAAAATTAATTCATGAGGATATCAAACTTATCCACTTCTCTATGTATTGCAAGAAGATAACACGTAAACAGAGTTTATTATTATTAGAAAACAAGTGGTGAAAATGCATAATTCATTTAAGAAATCAAACTATGAGCATTTCATTGCAATGAATTTACGAAAATGAAGTAGTAGATAAATTAGGTTATTTACAATAAAAAAACTTAATAGTTAGAAAATCACTTGAATATATATATACTGTCTGCATGATTGTGTACTATGCTTTTAATTTACAGTTTTTTGAATCACAGTACAATTCAACATTGATCAGGACAGCTGGAATACCACTGACTGTTATCACACGTCTACTTACAACGGTATAGTTTAGTGTAGTCAGACCACCAAGAGGACGGCGAATTAACTTAACCTGAAAACAGAATAATATGGAATAGAATAGAATACAAGGCGGTTGTTATGACGAAACTCAAGGAGAACAACATAAAATGCTACGAAGGGACAGGAAAGTCAAAATGCCAGATCGTAAACTTAAAACTTATAGCGTCCCAGTGGCTGAACCGTCCATGAGATCACCATATATCTGGAAGATCCCTGGTTGGAACCTCTGTGGGTGTGTACTGATGAGGAGTCCCAAACTGGGACAAAACAGCTGTCCAATACACCCTGGTTTCATAATAGTTCTCTAACTGATGTCAGTTAGTGACCATACCTGTAACCAATCAAATCCGTGCAAAAACCAACACTTGGAAACTATTGAGAATACTACTATTATTCCATGTAACTAGAATGTTTACCAGTTAACCGAATTGTAAAAAGGAGTTAAGATAAGCATGTCGAAAATTTTAAATCTTATGTACTTAACGATGATAAAGTCTACAACACAATCATTACAACTAAAATTTGAGGAATATGGATTTTGAGTACAACAAATCATACTGCTTGTAATAATTCTTTTTCTTTTTGAATGGATTATTGACATCAAGATGAATAACTCACGTATAAAAGGTACAAGTAGTCAGTACACATGATAAAATCACGCAATCTACCAGAGTTTGACCATCCAGTAGTCATCACAGAGTACATGAGCATGTAGCAGAACAATTAATGGAAAAATCACCCCATAAATATTCCGTTTAAATTATTGAATAAATCAGCTAAGTTTGCAATTATTACCCTGTTCCTCTGACCTGTACATCAGTGTCTTAGCAATCTCCCATTGTTTTTGAGTGAATCTCCCTCATCTGTTGATTCATATTTATATTTTGCTTCATCTTGTCATGGAGAAAACTGTTGATAAATAGCACGGTCTTTTACGGTTGTGATTTTGTTTGAATGAATTCGAAATTACGCTATAGAGTGCTGCTCGACCTTGAATTATCTGCGGGAAATACGTTTTGTTCTGTTTGATTCTTGAAGACAAATGAAATTTGATCCCACTTTATTATTATTAATACTCTAGTTGACTTCCAGGTATTTTTACGATTGTGTTTGCTTAAATAATTCTGTTTTACAATGTGTGTTGTACCTGAGAAAAGTTTTGACCGTATAGCTACCGAGCGCCATTGTTGGATACGTATCCACGGACATAAGCTAGCCGTCAAAAGACATGATATCCACTCCCTCATATCACTACACACAGACAACCACGGACATCAATTCGACTGGGATAACGTTCAAAATATTAGACAGAGGAAACAACAAGAATACTAGAGAATTTTTAGAAGCCTGCGTGGTATTCCAGTGAATCATCAATCAGTAGACACATCGAGATAGACAAAATTTATCAACCGATAAGAAAGAAACCTCGCACACAAAGGGTCAAAGTTCAAGTCAAAGAAACTATCAGTTCCAATTCGAGTAACCTAGAAGGTGTGAAAACACACAAAAACAACCAATCACGTCCAAGGTCACCAGGAGAGATGATTGATAAACTTGTGGAGAAATCTAAAAGCGCACTTCATGAAATTGAATTATGCGCTGAAGATGTCGCCTAGTAGGGCGATGAAAGCTTCGCAAATTAACTACCCAGCTCAGAGAACACAATCACATCAAAATCATCCACCTGAGCTACAAATCTTCTCTGTCATATCTGAAACTTGGTAAATCATGCAGAAGAACGCATATATTAGTTGCCTGCATTTATACTGAAATACTCGGCTTTTGGTTACCTGCTGTATTTTCTAATGCACGAATTTACACCTAATTGAAGATAATCTCACCATTCACTCAGGTTTATGGCAGTCCTTTTAACGACTCATCATCTACAATGATGAGCATTTTATTAAATTTCAGATTTTCCCGTCGATTGATTGGACCGAAGTACTTGGTCTCAGGTTGACATGTCGGCTTCTTGTGCAGATGCTTCGACGATGTCTCGGTATTTAGTTAGTATGTACTGGGTTCCAGCCTCCGTGGGAACATCATCACTCACTGAGAAATGCAGGTTCATCCAGCTGACGAGTCCCAAATACGACAAAGTGCGCATCCTGGATTCCACTGCTAGTCACTATCCACCAATTAAATGATGAGCATTCTCTTGAATTTACAGCTTAGAAATCAGTCTGACTTAGGGTAAAGAACTGCATTATAAAGAGAAAAAGTCAATTTATCATCTTTTTAACCGAATACTAGTGGAAACTGTATGACTACACTATAACTAGACATGCTTACTTAGCTCCAACATTGTATGATTTATGGTATCGGTGTCGGAGAAAGGGAAACTCACCACCTAACCAGGAATCTAAAGAAAAAAGATCCAACTCAGGGGTTATTCAGTCATCAGTAGACCATTACGTAAAAACCACATACTTCTTAAATTAACCAGAAATTGAGAATTCCTACGCAGTGAAACAATGATTTCCACTGACTAAGCTATAAAAAAGTTTCGTCTATAAACTACAACTATAATTATAGGATTTCATCAGGGGCTGATATTAGTTAGAGAACCATTGGAAAACCTGGGAGTACTGGACAACTGTTTCGTCCTAGTTTGGGACTCTTCAGTAGCACGCACCCGTCGGGATTCGCCTTGTTAACAGAAGGTCATGGGTTCGAATCACGGCGAGTGCGTACTGCTGAAGAGTCCCAAACTAGGCTGACGAGACAGTGGTTTAGTACTCCCAGATCTTCCAGTGGCTTTCTAACTAATGTCAACTCATGATGAAACCCTCTAACCAATCAAATCCCTACAAATCAACAACTGAATACAATTATAATTGTCCACCGACCATATTTGTAACTGGTATAGAAGTGTCTTTGCCCATCTAATAATGCTTAGAATTCAATCAAAAGAAATTTAGAAAAGGCAACCGACTGAGCGAAGAAATATATTCCTTTTCCAATTAGTTCCTCATCATCGGCTCTACACTATATACAGTTTTTACATAAGAATTTTACTAATCAGGTGGTTATTTCAGTTAATCAGATTTAGGTATAGGGAGTGGGTGAAATTAAGGGGTTAGAAGTCATCAAAACAATTAACTAATAGGTGTTAGCATCGAGATATCTAAGTTGTGAAAGAGGGGCTGTACAAATATCTTTTGAACGCACAGATTTAGTTTGTTCAGATGAGTTCCGACTGCCTCTGTTGTACGTAAAAGTCGTACTCGTAGACCATGCAATGAGAGATTGGGTCATATACGATAAATAATTCTAAAGGCTTTGTTAGAGTTGGCTTGATGTCCCGTATCGACGAGATGAACTCATATTGAGCTGTGTATCGCAGCTTTATTCAGACGTTTACAAATCCAAGATGGGAGGTGTTTAGAAATTTGACTGTGAACTTGCCTGGTCGCACGGAAAGTTAAACTGGTAAATACACATGGAAGAGGCGAAACAGAGCAGTTTGTTTTGGTTGGTTAGTGAATTTACAGCATAGCTTAGCAGCACTGAAAGTCCTTTCGGAAGCCCTTCTCAGAAGTTCTGATAAGATGTCACTATTGACATCACCTGAAAATTGTAATCTTAGGAAGACTGATTTATTAGGAATAGTGGGCACCTCCTGCTTTTTACTTTCTGAGTTCATGTGTTTGTTCAAAAATTTGGTCGGACTTCTGTTTTTACTTGGTAGCTGACAAATATTACTGAGTTTTTCGTTCAGAGTTTCATCTGAAGCCATCTCCATCAGGCTCCTGAAACGTGATTTGTACCTTCAGAAAGAAACAGTTATCAGCCTTTCTTTGCCCTGGTAACTGAATAAATTCATTGCGCATAATTTCCATTGAGCATGATCATTATTGTTGGGAATAGTGTTTAATAGTATGTTAAAATTGTCTTTGTAGATATATTTAATAATGACTTTGACCTTGCTTTATTCAAATAATTTTAGCCTGATGAATCAGACATCTAGCCAGATAAAGTTTGTAATGTAGAGGTACGAAACTCAAGAAGTGAGTATATTGTCCAGTGGAAGTAGGTTTTCTGTGCAAACATCTATATACTGTTCCGTTTGTTCGCTTAGTCGTTAGGGCGTCCAAATATTTCATATATCAGGCATATTGTGCAAGGGTTTATGATACTACTTCGCTGCTCAGGCTAAAGTCGGGTAGAACGGGGTTTGAAAGCATAACCCACTGGCTGAAAATTAAGTGTCGACAATACAAGCAGACAAAAATTGTATTATGCTGATTTATAACCAGATAAAAAAAGTATCCATGCAAATTCTCTTGTAAAAACTGCTAGTTAGGTTATGTTTTCATCGATTGGGGCAGCTGTTTAGTGTACAGATCAATGTTGTCCACATTTAATAAAATCTGTGGATAAGTGCATGTGACTGTTTAGCACTCATACGATTCAGGAGTACAGTTCCTTAGGTAAACACGTTATGCTTCAGCTTACAGATAAAACTGAAATTAAATAAAAGTAAATCAGGCAAGGTAAACGCTTAAATAGCCTCCGACGCTTTTCATCAAGACTGATAAACACTGTGCAACTTACAACTTCAGGACTATAATACGTTTTATCATCCCGAGTATGCTGACCCTCTTGATGGATATGACGAAATGCTTTTATTCCCATAGTGACATTAATTGGAGTTGAAATCTATAAAGTTGAAGAAAAGATTTTAACAAAAGTTATTTATGAATACATTATCATTAATTAACTTAAATGATACAACTCAGTCAACATACTGCCATTTAAACTAATAATTATTGAAGCATGCCTAAACTGTAAAAGTAGACAATGCTAACTGACATCCCATTTCCAAGTGGATGAAAAGTGTGACTAGAAGATTTGGGATCCGAGGGCCACACACACACACACACTAGTACTATATTCACGTTTATGACACACAGTTACCAGGTTGAATTTACTTCACAACCAATAAGAACTTAATAAAAGAAAGTGGCATCTCAATGAAATACTCGAAAGGAAAATTGTATGCATAGCGCTTTATTCATTTCAATCCGTTTTCCCTATGAATGAGTAGTTTTATTGTGACTAACTGATTTCCTTGGTAAACAATAACATGTGGTGAGAGCAGGCTGCTAGCCAATTGGTAAACATTAATTTACGTCAATGTTTAGGTCACTAATATTGGCCGTGAGAAAATATGAACAAGGCTGATTCAACAACCAATCACAGCAGACTTAACGTGGGCAAATAAGATTTGCAAATATATGACTTAACTTTCCGAGAAACCAGAAACAACCAATCAGAAAACTATGTCTGCTTGAGTAAGCTATAATAGTGTACATGAAATATATATAAATACGTGCTGATTTCTGTAATAAAACAATCTGTTGCCTGCCCTTGTCAATTGCTGTTACAAACAGAGTCATTGTAAAGAAATACTTCTTTCTTATATAAATCTCTGTTATTCTTATTCACAAATATACAGGTATATTTACCCCCAAACAATTTCTGTTTACAAACTAGGGAGGGGAACAGATATTTCCGGGAAGTTTATATAAAGAAATCAAACCAACGGGCACGTACACGCCAAGAGTGTATGGCCTACTATTAGATAAAGTGAATAAATCAGGGGTACTGTTAAGAGCAATACTTGATATGCAAAATCCGCCCGGTCAGGCTCTAGCTAGATGGTTAGTAAATATTCTTAAACCTTTGTATTAGCAAACGGTGAAACATAGCGTCAAAGATGTATCTGAATTCAAAGACAACATCAAAGATATTAATATCAAGGATAAAACTATGATATCTTTGGACATGTACCTCTAGTAAAAACGGTTAACTATATATGTGAACAGAGATGTATAAGCAGTCGATAAACATTGGTACCCGATACGAAAATCCTAAAAGAAATGTTATTAAGGTGTACCATGAATGTAAGTTTCAAATTTGAAAGTACACTTTACGGACAAGTGGACGGGATGGCAATGAGCTCCCCATTGTGTCCTATTTTGGCACATTTCTTTCTGGGGAAACTAAAAATGAAGCTTTGAGCAACCTTATCCGAAAATTCTCATTTTATTGTCGGTATATGGGTGACACCTTCATTTTTTGTGATAATGATTCCGATAGGAACACAATATCAACTCATTTCAGAGCAGTACATTCTGCTATGAAATACACGTGAGAAGAGAAATCCAAAAATAGAATTGCCTTCATATATGTCATCCTTACAAAAAAAAACCAGATGGTAGTATAAAGAGAAATTTGTATAGGAAAACCACATGGACAGAAAAATATACACATTTTCACAGCTCCGTTCCTCTCCAGTATAAAAGAAATTTAGTAAGGACCATCAGCCACAGGATGAGAGCTAAATGCCCAGAAGAGGTAACTGAAGATAAATTAATGATTGCATATGATACATTGACTGGAAACAGCTATCCAGACAAATTCATCAAGAAACATATGACTAAGAAAGTTGAAAAGGACTACTCACTATTCGTACACAAGAAGCAGAACTAAAGGTTGGTTGATACCTGACTGTCTTAACTTCTTAATGTAGAAGGTAAGATGAAACATTTTCTTAGAGATTAATAAAACGTGGGATGACCATGAAAGGTCAGAGGAAAGAACTAATCCAAGGTATTCAATGCTTGACTTCGTTCCAATTTCAGTGCCATCTATGCTACAGGCATCGTGGGAACTAACTAGTTCATGTATGTCACGTCGATGCTTGAAAGTAAAGTTAACTGCCTGACATTTGGAAGGGTTTGATTTAGACCACTTGATGTCCAACAGAAAGCTATTAAGTTTGGAGCTGTCACACTCGGAAGTGATAGGCAGTGATACAGTCAGATCATCTGCATATTTGACAAAGTTAGTTTCGTTTGAACGAGGCAGGTCGTGTAGGAAGGAAGAAAAAAGAAAAGGAGAGCGGACGGCACCTTGAGGAACACCGGATTTTGTAAGCGAGGTAGGAGAAGATTTGCCATTATATACAGTATACTGCATTCTATCAGAAAAATAGGAATGCAACCAACTCTTAGCCCGGGATCCTGTTTGCGTCAACGAAAGCTTATTTAATAAAAGGCCTCTAGGTACAGAGTCCAAAGCAGATGTGTAGTCTAAGAAAGCACAACGAACATATTTAGCACCTTTGTCTAAACAAGAAACAACATTATGATATAAGACAACCGCAGCATCCAAGGTACTTCTACCATGTTTGTATGCAAATTGTTTAGGATCATTAAAAGGTTTCAATGAAGGTTCAAGACGAAGTAAAAGTAATTTTTCCATCAATTAAAAAAAAGAGAAGTAATTGAAATAGGCCTAAATTTAATATCAGTACCAGAAGATGGTTTTGGTATGGGGATAGTTTTAATGTTTTTCCATGAAAACGGTAGAACGTTATCGGAAAAAGAAGCGTTAAAAATGTTAGTGAGAGGGTAACACAAAATATCAGCACAGTTCCTGAGGACAATGGCAGGTATGCCGTCAGGACCAAGGCTTTGGGAAGGCTTAAGAGACCAGAGACATTTAAGTATATCAAGGGTATTAAAACCACTAAAATTATTGTCTATATGATTTGTATCATTAGGAAGGATATCAACAGAAGAGCGTATGAAAGATTTATTAAGAGTGTCGACATTAAGAGATGGGACAGAAGTACATAAAGTAACTAGACTAGCCACTCCTAATTGTATCTACAAATTCAACTGCGCTTGTGCAGCCAGTTATATTGGCTGTTGTTCTAGAAACTTGATATTTTGTGCTTAGGAACTCCCATCAGTGTGAATAAGTAAAGGTGTAATAAAAACCGTCAACAGTTCGATATTAGACCATCTGGTCCAAAGCGGACACAAAACTAGCCTTGAAGAATCCTTCTCTTTCATCTAACGGGTAACAAGTAAATTGCCAAAAAACATCCAGGTAGCGTATACGCCATACATCAAAGGCTATCACGATTCACCTTGAATAACCAGTGCTTTGTATGCAGAAAAAGCAAGTCCAGCCACTTCTACTGACCTGGCCGGCCTTCAGTGGAGACTATAGATTCGTGAATTTGTACTATTATTATTTTTCCTAATTTGCCTGTCTGATATTCAGTGTGTATTGATTGTTACGTTGGTGCTATCCATTGATATTATTATTATTGATTCGATATTATTTAAACAACATTAACAACACTAATTCTTTCATTATTATGTATATATAACTGTAAAACGTGATGATGAAGGGGTTATCGAAAAAAATATATTATTTGTTCAGTAGCCATTCTTTCGAAAAATTTCTAATGGGCATTTTTAATCAGTTAGAATCTGATAAGACGGTTGTGTGCTCAGAAGTGCATAACTTAAGTTGCTGACCTATACTACAGGCTGCATTTGATAGCCATTACAATGCAACAAGAGATAAGTAATCTACATTATTTTAATTGATACTTTAAAAAAAAAGAATATCGCTCAAGTGTAAGTTAGAATAAAAACTGAAAAGTTAAATGTTGACGTTATACAAACAATGCCTGTTAATCGAGTAACACGTTGTTAAACACCTTAAAAAGGATATTTCGTGTGCATTGCATTATTTACATACACATAATCAACACTGAGAAGATAAGATTCAGGTTTTAAGTTGTAAGCCAATGATATTTTTTAGGATAACTGAAACAGAACAAGGTCTATGGAAATAATTAAGAGAAATATACTACTTAAAAATAAATATAGGGGAATATTATTTAATAAAGTTTTTCAAGGTCAAACTGACCTTCGGGAGTTATGCAACGCAGTTGTATGAGCAAATAAATACATTAATACTTAACAAAGGTACTGGAGTCTGTTAACAGATCCGGCTTACTCTAATGGTAGTCAAATATTAGTGGTAGTGAAACGGTAGAAAACGGAAACTTGGTAAAAGAATGTGGTATCTCAATATAACCAAATTATGTGCACCTTATCTTCAACACATCATTTACACACATCTTCATGATGTGCCACTTCTGGCATTCCTTCATTTCATAGTATTTCTTTGTGTTCTTTTCACGGCTTCCATGTGTATCCACGACACTGTATCATTAGCCTTTTGTGACATCAAATGTATCTCCCTGACATTTGATGTTTTTATACCGATGAACATTTCTTTGTATACTACTGATACAGGTTATTAGTACAAAAACACGTCGCAGTAGTACCTCTTTATGCTCCAAACACCAAGTGATATGCATTCGCAATGTCAGTAGAAGGAAAGCCACCGTTTTCTCCTACCGAATCGACGCATAACAAAGGTCTAAACTCTAACAATTGCCAATGTGGTTAACAATCTGTAGTATACAGACAACCAGATTCACTGATGCTACAATTAATTGCCAACATTTTTATTGACTAATAAAGCTTGAAAAATACAAGGGATAATACTAACGACGAACATATTTTTGCTAGTTATTGTGTAAACATTAGGAATAGCTCACGGTGTATCTGATTAATGATCAAACGAATTTAACAGATGGCCTACATATAATCTCATTGAAACACCAGTTTCTATGCAGTACATAATAACTTTAATCATCTTGTGTTCTCATCTTTAATAAATAATAAAAGTCTTTCTGTGACAATCATCAATAAATTAGCCTAGTAAATATCTTAATCATCATTATAAAACGGTACCTACCGTCAGCTTGAAAACTGAAGAACAAGACTAGTTTCAGACGTATACATATACAGTATTTATTGCCTTGGCTTTGGACTACCTATCTATCAAGGGATCATATGGGTGTGTTTTTCAATTCAAAGTTCACCTCATTACTGATATTCCTATACCTCAACTGTCTCGGTTGTGTTAAAGCCTATGTTGATGTTTGTTAAGGGTGTTAACTTGTTTCGTTTCCACTCGTTTTCATCAAAGATAAATTTATAAAAGTCTATACACCCTTATTCATTTTATAGTGAAATGCCTCTTTCTGACAGTTTCCTTAATTGGCTTATCGTACGCAACCGATACAGTTCATTTTATTGAAGAATTAATACTCCAAAAATGCTGTGAGACACTGTTTTCCACATATCTGTACCACCTCAAATATGAAGTATTAATTTACGTCAACATAGTCAACAACTATTTGCGTCTACATGCATTTGATGGTCAGTCGAAACTACTGTGTGCCAATGTGTTGTTACAGGATTGGACTACACTGACTCCTGGATTAGAAATAGGAAGTGAAGTGGTAGAGCACGTTGACCGCTTCACTTATTTGGGAAGTACCATCAGTCCCAACGGGTTGATCTCTGACGAAATCTCAGCACGGATACAGAGGGCTAGTTTCGCATATGCCAGTTTACACTGTCTCTGGCGTTGACGTGATATCCGGCAGGCTATCGACCAAAGGGTAGGTGTACTGTTCATCATTCCGCTCCGTCCTCCTTTATGGCTGTGACTGAGATATTGCCACTGAGAGTGGAAGACATGAAAAGATTAGCTGTTTTTAATCATAGGTGCCTGCGCTCTATCTTCCGTGTGAAGTGGTAAAATAAGGTGAGCAATGTTGAGGTTAGGTGTCGAGTGCTAGGTAAAGAGGGGAAATCAATCAACGAGGCTGTGAAATTACACCGACTGAGATGGTTAGGACATGTGTTACGTATGCCCACTCATCACCTTCCTCGACGGGCAATGTTAGCTGATATAGGGTCAGGCTGGAAAAGAGCTAGAGACGGTCAAACCAAAACATGGCTTCATCAGTCAATGAAATCTACGATAGTTAGTTTAGGAAGGTGCAGACTTCCTGACTGGTTGGGGACCTCGGGACGGTAAAAACCAATGGTTGGAAACAATCGGTGATATGCCCCAAAATCGTTCTCAATGGCTAGTGCAGATGCATCCACTCCTTGTGACTTATGATTTTCAATGAAACTGTTTTGTTCCTCGTTATTACTATTCTTTTGTCTCACACCTCTGTTTACTGTCTTCTACTTTCTTCTCCTGCTTTGTGTGCTACATGGAGGGAGTTTGGCGACTTGAACTGGTGCACATATGTGCAACGTTCTATGTCGAAAACAGATAGAGTTTGCCGATGACACTGAGTGGTTACCCAAACGTTTGTACGTCGGTGGTTCAGTGATAGAATTCTCGCCAGCCACATGAGAGGTACGGCTTCCAATCCCGTCGATGCATGCATAAACCTTGCCTACTATACTAACAGGTAGTAAGTCCGGAAAACATAGGAGGTTGAAGGCGGGAATAGCGAACCTGTCCTGTCCGCTACGCTGAAACTCCAAAGCTTGAACCCCAATGTTCCACTCGGTGCACAAGACAAAAAATAATAACCCATACCATAGTAAGTAAGGAGTAGTTCCAACCCACTGCCCAGAGCTCTATGCCTTACCATAAACATATTTACTGGTGATAATCTGCCAATAGTTACAGTCAATGAGGTGATTGAATGCACTGACCACTTTACCTACCTTGACAAACGCTCTAACTCATATGTTGGTGATTGAAAATATCCTTTTTGAAAACACAAAGGAACAATTTAGATTAGCAGCAACGCTAGGTACTATGTTCATAATGTTTCTCTAGCATTTAAGATTAGAATTTGAGCAATACTGTGGGGTATGATACCATAATAGAATAATTTTACTTGATACAGCACACTAAAAAAACTATTAGTGTGATAAACAAACAATATTGTATCATTGTATGCAATATCAGATAAAACTATTCTCCAATGAAGTAGGTCAATTTTTGTCAGCACAAACGAGCATTATGTTAAGAGAATCATGATAAACAATAAATACATGACCTCTCTGTACATGAGCGACACTGTCGACAATATCCTTTAAATGCATAACGAAAGTTATTGATTTTTTTATGTATTTATATATATTCCAAATTTTGATAAATTTATAATCTTCAATAATGACTAATCCGACCTTACTTTAAGTCCATTTAACTTTATACGTCTCCGAAATTCATCGTCTTCATGTCCCCATCCCCAAAATGAATTCGACATTCCACCGACTAAACTGTAATGGCTTCTTCTAATGATTAAAACGCCACCACTATATTTTTTAAAAAAGTTGTAACGTGGGTGAAGATAATGTGGAATTAAGTGAACCGGTCCAAACTCAGGAGGTATGTCATACTTCAATGCTGGATCCACAGGTAACAGGTCAACATCATGTAATGCTAAGTAATTTGTATGCGGCAGTTTCAAACATTGTACGGCAGATCGAGATATTGAGTTTTGTCGAACAATAGTTTCTACAACAACACCATTGACTTCAGCTTTGACGGACTCCAGTGCTCCAACATTTAGTAAAGCTCCTCTATTAAATCTGAAATAAATGAATCAAATAATAAGACAGATATTGGATCCTGTTCAGTTATTGCGATATACGAAGAAAACTTATCGAATTCAGATAAGAACATTGCGATGACTCCCAACTTGAGACTTCCTAAAAGCCAAGCTCGCAGAAAACGGTTACCCTAACCGATTTATTGACAGAAACACGAAAGATAAGCAGTTCAAACTGGTCACCGACTCAGTTCGAAAGAAAATTTTATTTATGAACTTTGAATTTAAAGGTCATCAAGCTTCAGATATACTCATAAACCGTCTCTCTAAAACAGTCAGTAAGACATGCGTTGCAGCAAAATTACAAATCACGTTCACCAGCCGCAAGTTATTCTTCATCTCTATAAAAGATAAGCTCCCCCGTCTAGCCACTTCTATGTACATATTTCAGTTCACAAGCTCTTGTGGAGCACGAGACATTTGTCGTAGCCAGAGAAAGCTTTCCACACGGATACGAGAACATATTCCAACATGGTTGTGCAAAGGAGAAAGGAAGAGTGTGAGAAGTTTGTTCGAGAACACCTGATCGACTCCTATCACTCTATCTACCTTAAACACTATTTTAAGATAATCTACCGAATCCATGCCGACTTGCCGTGTTGTCTTCGATATAGACTTACAAAGACAGCGGAGGCCTTGGCAATTCATGAATTTAAGCCAGACCTTTGTGTACAAAAGAAATATGTACAATCCCTACTTCTGCCTTGGCCGTAGAGAGATAGACTTTTTAACAGTTTGATTTATTTTATATTTTATTTATATTTATTTTGTTTATTTAGTTAATCTACATACATTTCGCTCATTACTACGATTACCATTTTCATTTTGAATCGTTTCCATTTGTCATTCTAAGTCCGAAAAATGTTTTTTACAATGTTGAATCCTATCTTATCAAATTCGACACTATGTTACGTAACGTTTTATATTAGCCTACTAACCCTATAATTATAAACCCCTTTCGAACATCTATACATCTTATGAATTATTCTACATATGACGCTAATTGTTTTGCTACTTGACATTTAACTACAATTATAGTAAAAATATATTTTAGTTGTATTTCATAGTATTATTATTTCATGTATTCACACCTTTGATCTAATTCCCTTACCGGATATAATTCCTGATTTACACTGTACTCCAGTGTTGATCTAATTGAAATAATTTTACCTCCACTGAATACTGAAGTTAAAGATATACAAGTTGTATTTAACTGGCTGAGAATATTACTATTTTACGACTGCTTTAATGAACACATCAGCTTAACTTAATTTCCTTTACCCAAACGATGGACAAAGTAAGTAAAAGAGTCGTAGTAAATATTTTAGAAACCAAAATTACCGATTCAACTAATGTCATTTGGCAGTTTAAGAATGGAAAAGGGTAATTATTAACGACAGATAAAAAGCAAACATTTAGAATCAGCCTCCAAACTTGTCCATGTAGCAGATCAAATCCCTAAGGATTCTCAATCGAATTATGTCTACAAAATAAAGTGCTTGGAGTGCGATGCGATATACATGGGAAGAAACTTCACGAGAAATCAAAATCAGAAGAAATGAACACCGTAGAGCATCTGATCGACCACCAAGAAATCCGGTTGAACTAGAAGAGCTTGAAAAATCATCAGCCATAGGTCTACACTCTATACAATCACGTCACAGAATTGACTTTGACAATATTGAAATCATCCAGAAAAAATCAGAAATCACAAAGAATATCTAATATCAGAAGCCATTCATATCAAATGGAATCCAAATTGTTTGAATAGGGATGATGGACTAAAACAGGACTTGACCTGGTTGCAACACTCTTCCTCCCCCGTCAACGAAGCGACAAAACCAACATATGACAAATGTGACAAATAATTTCATTATGTTAACACAAGCTGCTTTTGTAATTTCATACACTTATCAAACCCAACTATCTACACATAGTTTTGTTATTTTTTACCAACTGACCAACTTGACAACGTAAAAGTTTAAAACAATTAGTTCCCTTTATGAATTTAGATAAAGCAATAAGAAGACGTAATTTGTCTGAATCGTGTATTGGTTATTTGCTCAACCCATTTCGAACAATCTGATCACACACGGACTTGTCATAGGAATGAATATAAAATTAATAAAGAGGTAAGATATGAGAAAATATACTTAGGTCGAGTTAAAAGGACATATTGAAGGTCAAAATAACAATGAAGACCACTAGACCAAATAGCAGACGTAATAGTACATCTGCTATGGTGTCAAAACAAAATTTACCAAAGAAGGTTTAATGTGATGACGAATTCTTTTTGAACGCACAAAGGTGGCTTCAACTTTCTAATTGCTAGGGAAACGCATAAACTTGCTAAATTGTTAGTAGAATTATTGAATTCAGTCAAAACACAATTCTGTAAGTATGTGTTAAAAGATACATTTGAATTGGTTGATGTTCTTGACGATAGTAATATTATGAACAAGAATATGTACTCTGATGTCCTTGGCGGCCTGCTTAAATCTTGGGCTACCAATTACCTTACCTTAAACATTTTGATGTAAACTCGTTATTTACTAATGTGCCTTTGATCAAAACAGTTGACATTTTGTGTGACTATATTTCCACAAACAATTTTTTCATCCCGTTCCCTATATCTTACTTAAGGGATTTATTACTTCTATGTACTAACAATGTTAGGTTTACATTTGAAGGCGATTGTTTCCGCCAAGTTGATGGTGTTGCTATGGAAAGTCCGTTAGGGCCCCTTTTAGCAGATATTTATATGTCGTACATTGAGAATTTATCGGAGGATTTAATCGGAAGTGTGCCACTTTATAAAAGGTATGTAGATGATATCGTAGTCATCAGTGATAAGCCTTGTTCTGCCACCTCAATTTTAGATCGAATGAATGAAGTTCAGAATAGCATATCACTTACATCTTGTAGAAGAAGAAGATAATTGTTTATCTTTCCTAGACATATTGCTTAGTCGACGGCTTGATGGGTCAATAAAAAGATCTATTTATAGAAAACCTACCTGGACAGGACAGTATCTTAATTACCACAGTTTCTGCCCTGTTCGGTACAAAAGAGCCTTAGTAATATTCCTCTTCAGTAGAATCCAACGAATATGCACTGAAGACACACTTGATGAAGAACAAAGAAAGTTGACAAAAACTCTGGTTGATAACAATTATCCAGACAAGTTCATCAGGAGATATAAAGTAGTCAGAACACCAGACCCACTCTCCAACTCGCCCCTAAGAAAGACGTGTACATCAAGCTACCCTATATGGGGCATTAAAGCAGTTTGATAGCTAGATAAAGATTGAGCGCTGATGTTAAAAAGACTTTTATGCAGCTAATACCATAATAATAGATAATGTAAAGCCATTATATCTATCTAAGCACTTCGGACATGCCAAAAATGACGTCACATCCCACTGTATTTACCTATTTGAATGTACATGTGGACACACATACATAGGGAGGACTCATCGACCTCAGTAAGTAAGGGGTTCAGATCATATTCCTAAATGGCTTCAGAAACAAATGGAATCTTCAGAACCTATTAACGGTGAGAACAGAAGATCTAGCTCATCTATTGCGAAACATATTATAGAGACAGGACATAAAATTAATGTTAACAGATCTTTTAAACCTATCTATAAAACGTGGTGGAGGCGTATCCTAAAGTTTGTGGAAGCCCTAGCAATTAGAAAGTTGAAGCCACCTTTGTGCGTTCAAAAAGAATTCGTCATCACATTAAACCTTCTTTGGTAAATTTTGTTTTGACACCATAGCAGATGTACTATTACGTCTGCTATTTGGTCTAGTGGTCTTCATTGTTATTTTGACCTTTTCAATATGTCCTTTTAACTCGACCTAAGTATATTTTTCTCATATCTTACCTCTTTATTAATTTCATATTCATTCCTATGACAAGTCCGTGTGTGATCAGATTGTTCGAAATGGGTTGAGCAAATACAATACACGATTCAGACAAATTACGTCTTCTTATTGCTTTATCTAAACGTAAAAGTTACCTCATTATGAAGAATGATGATTAAGTTGCTGTAAATAAGCTGAGATTTTGTAAATGCTGGTTTAATAACACTTTTATAAAGCTATTAGCATTGAATAGTGAAAAGTCAGTAAAAATAATATCGCTTTTTCTTTCATTCATCGGGAAATACAAAAACTATTATAGTAACCATTTACAATTAACTTGCCATAGTACTATTTTAATCTTGAATTTATACTACTTATTATTTGTAAGTAGACCAAGTGTTTCTTGCAGTTTAATAGAAAATTTGAGCAAATCAATAAGAACAAACGAAGCGTGGACAAAACAGCCATTTGATTTCGTCCTGAATGGTGATATTAAATAGTTTTATCATAATCTTAACATAGTAGACAAATTGTCGGACAATAAGTAAGGATGATCACGGTAAATGGATAAAACGAAGTACTCAGGGAGGAAAATACAAAAATACCAATGTAGTTCTGTATATAACGCGATAGAACTTCCTCAAAAAACAGTGTGAGGATGAAAGTAGTTAACAAGAACGGGTGAAATAAAAAGGATCCGTTTTATCCTGCTCTATGTGTTATTATTATTTCGTTCAAACTCATCTAATTCACATGCATCACTTTAGTTTCTTGATGGATAGCACCAAAGAAAAAGTGGTAAATCTAAAATTCAAAAGTGACAATAGTTGAAATTCTTCAAAGCAGATTATCAAGGGCGATCTGAAAAATATCTTTGACTGTATCTTCACGCCACACGTTCTTCATATAACCTTTTTATTCATTAAAACGTCAAAGACAATGTCCCACTTCCGGCAATACCCATGTGCATATATCGATTCAACTGCTCCTTTGGAGCTAAGTACACAAGGACTAATCAGTAGGATACTGGTCAAATGAGCACAAGAATATATTCCAACATTCTCGTCGAAAGGAGAAATTAAATGAGATCATAGTTCATCTCTTGAGCACCTTGTTCTTACAAAACATTCGGCATCAATAAGAAAGCCTTTCAAAGTGATATAGACGGTGAGGCCAAATTGTTCGAAAGGTTTACGGCTAAAATCTTCTATCCACAGCAAAGGCTCTTGCCAGTCACAAAGAAAACCCTGAACACTATGTATTTTCTTTTATTTACCTTGTAATTTCCAGTATGACCAGTGTGTTTGAGTAGCTTTTCAAACTCAGCTGTACTGAATATTTTCCATAATCGCATTTACTTAACAATATCTGGACAGGGCAAGAAACACGTATAAAGCCTACAATTCTAGCTACATATATTTCCTGTCACTTGTTATTATAGTATCGCACTTTAAAAACACTTGATTTCTTTCATTTTGGTATTTCACGTACCGAGAATCCAAATCAACCGAATTCATCATTTTTAAATTACACAGTTCGACATGAAAATCCACTACGGTTTCCTTTGATTCTGTGGAACACAGACAACCGGTTAACTGAAGATCTTACGCAAGAAGAAGCAGTCACATGTTAATCTGTCGTTAGGTCACTTTTCTCCTTATCATTATTATTATTCTTTCAGGTTCCAAGTGGAACACAGGGATTCAACAACACATCTCCACTTTGTTCTATTTGATGCTGTTCTCCTCAGCTGAGTCCACAATTGACTATTAATCTCTCATCTCTTCGCCGAACGACCTCCTCCATATCACCCTCGCACCAACGGCTCACTCTTCGCTTCCCATTGGGATTCCACTCGAGTGATGGCCTGTCTGTCTCTGTCTGTCTGGATTAAACATAGAACTTGGCACCAAAGTGCAGCAGTTCGAGTTGTCACGTTCAAAATAGCACACACACAGGTAGACAAGAAGATGAATGAAGAGAATCAATAGAGTTTGACAAGTATAAGAGTGAAACAGAATGGGTAATGGTAGAAAGGAATATGAAAGATTACAGAGACTGAATACATCTGTGCCATTGACAACGATTTCGAGCCATGTCACCTATTGTCTCCAGCCATTGATTCCTAGAGTCCCGAGGCCCTCAACCCGGGAGTCTGCATCTCCCTACCTGACTCAGTTTAACTGTCAAGGATTTCATGGATTGATGAGGCCACGTTTTTGTTTGGCCACCACTGGCTCTTTTCCAACCTGCACCTATATCAGCTAGCAATGCCCGTCGGGGGAGGCGGTGGTTAGGCATGCGCAGCACGTGACCTAGCCATCTTAGTCTATGTAACTTTATAGCCTCGTCGATTGATTTTCCCTCTTTGCCCTGGCCTGGAGCGCGATGTCATTCCACGGCCTCGTCAACGTATGCCCGACGCATTTCCATTTTATTCTACATATTTGTTGGGCTATCGGTCCTCCGTTGGTTTGTCGCCAGAGCTTCTTGGTGCTAATTCTTTCTGACCAGTCGGCCATTGGATCTTCAGTATGGAGCTAGAAAAGATGGCAGCTGTTGAAAAAAGTCTGTAAAAGCCTGTTGAAAATCTTTTTCGTGACACACCAAGTTTCTCACCCGTATAAAAGGACCGATTTCATATTGGTTTTGAAAATCAGAATATTGTTTGTTATGCTGTGGAGTGCAGAAAATTTCCAAATTGTTTTCAGGTTGATGGAGGCATATCTTGTCTTTTGAATTCTGACTGGCTTTGACATCTTCATCCGTTCCGACTGCCAGTAGTTGAAACAACGCATCCTAGACAAGTGAAGGAGGCAACCTCTGTTAAATGTCTCCCTCTGATGGCGATTGGGGGCTGGTTATTGTTGTTGTTGTTGCTGTTGCTGTTGGTTGGTTATCTTCATCACCTTCGTCTTCTCTATGTTCACCTGGAGTCCTGCATTCACTGCCAGCCCCTTTAGTCAGTTTGTCGATTTTCGACTGCACATCTTCGAGTTTGTGTGACAGTAGACATATATCATCTGCCCGTGAAATCCAGATCTTCTAAAGTCTTCTTATCGGTGGTACAGCGTATTTCTGTCTTCTAGTTCCCTGTTCACAGTCTGGCGCATAATACAGCTTACCACAATTAGGAATATCGTTGGTGATAATAGGAAGCCTTGTCTTACTCCTGTATTCACTTCGAATGCCTCGCTAAATTTTCCATTGTGGACACGTGACATTGTCATATAGCCGTTGAATGAGGTTGATAACATAAGTAAAATTTAAATACTGAAATTTTCTCTCCAAGCTAACCTAAAATATATACTAAAAACAACTTAATAAACACACACTGTCAGGCTGAACTTACCGGAGATCATCCACTTGATTAACAATGAAGAAAGTATGACGCACCTTTTGATTATTTAGAAAGTTCTCTAAGTATGGTATAAATTCTTGAAGTTCAGTAAAACGATCTCTAAACGGTACTAAGACAGCTAAACGATGAAAAGCCGAATTTTCATCATAGTGATCCCATGATGGACAAACACGACTATCAATTGCACCCAATCTCCAATCAGATACATCTATTAGCAAATCATTTTGCACGTTTATGCGGTTCTTGCCGACATGATGAAGAACAGCAAAAAGACATACAGCTATTAGAATATATGTGAGTTTTTTGAACTTCTGGAGTTTAGACTGAAAATAAAGAATAACATGAAGTATTAGAGTAGCTCCTTTAAACAAGGTTGGGAACAAGAAAAAAAACTCACTACTTTAATATTCAATGCCACTTTGTAATGAAATCCATTTTGGACACTTCAACTTAATTCACACTCTTCATTTGGACCTTCTAGTACTTTCCAGTGTATTGAGATTACTTAATTTACCAGGAAAAACAAGTTTTAGTACTGTAAATATGTTTGGTTACCAGATAAATGCCCTTTATGAGTGCAGAAGATACGCTTAACACTTACAATACATTATGGAGAAATTATTTCAGATTAAGTGTTGGTTTGTAGGGGTTTGATTGGTTACAGGATTTTCATCATGAGCTGACATTAGTTAGAGAACCATTGTAAAACCTGGGAGTACTGGACAGTTGTTTCGTCCCACTAGTTTGGGACTATTCATCAGTACGCACTCACCGGGATTTGAGCCCAGGACTCCCTGGTTACAAGGCGAGCTCGTATACCACTAAGCCACTGGGACCAGATACAATGGCCCGTGAATTCTAACTTCTGCCAATTCACGACATAGCGCGACCCCTAGCCAATGTCTTCGACGAGTATTTGTCCTCGCACCCGACCTGCTGCACCCTACTGGTCACAACTTCTCACAATTCTTTCAGTTTACTTGGCGAATATCTGCATACATATTGTTCTGTGAATATGACGAATTTACTGTATTGACTATCTGAATTTAGTAATTCTTAAACCCTAAATTGGTATTTTCAAAAGTTGAACAGTCTAGCTTTAATAAAAAAATGACCAAACTATTCACAATCACTGCTACAAAAGCCAGTCGTTTTGGTAAATCCCCTATATTTCAAATAAGATTGGAAGCAGTTAATATCATAAAACAAAAATATAAGTGATGAAATCGTTCGTTTTTGAGATCGTTTAGGTTTGCAGAAACTCTTCTCTCATCTCATTATCTTACCTTTCCTGCCGATTAAAATTTCAGTTGCTCTTAAAATTTTCTCCTTTCCATAGTTTGCTAGTATTTCTGGTATGTGAAAAAAATGTTCCAAAATTGAACAGTTTTCACAGTGTGCATTACTAGTCAGAATTGAAAGGAGTCTCAATACTTAGAGATGAATTTAAGCTAAATAAGAAAACGCTTATAGTTAACAGATATGAACTACGCCTACCACGATTAGTAGAGTTAACTTATGCAGTGACATAATAATTATCGATTTTCAATTATTGTCAACATATCTGAGAGGGGAAACCGCGCAACATTGAGAATGATACTGTGAATTTGAATAAACACAACTCGTAAACGGTTCATGGGTAGACAATTACTGGGAACTGCTGTGTGTGGGTTACTAATACTGCTTATCTGCTCAAACCTAGATCATTCGAAAGGTAATCGAACGCGTGACCTACCAACCCGTAGATGAGTGTCTCAATAGCCTAAGCACTCAACCTCCAACCAGTGGGTCACAGGTTAGAATCCCACCCCATCTGCTTCAACATGGGAGACTGGGTAGTGCGATCAGCCCTCAGATAATAACTATGTGGCTCATAGTCTGGAATATGAGAAAAAACTTCTTTCAGGAATTGAGACCCAACTGACAGCTATTTCTTTAACGTAATGACTGGGCTTACATATCGTGGTCAGCTGCGCTTTCAGGAACAGACATTTCCGCAAGTCTTATCATATCAGGAAGGTTGATTGGACACAGATTGGATTAAAATCAACTGCTACCATAGTGTAAATTTCCTACCACTTCGTAGGGATCAAGATATACTGTTGGCAGATAAGACTGCAATAGCCATACGGTAATTCCTTCAAAAAAGCACCAAGTCGCTATACTACCTCCATTCCCAGAAGAGGAGTTTTGGGAGTCGGCACCAAAAACTCCATATTCCCACTAACTCAACGATGGTAGCCTTCTGAACAGACAAAGTTGCATATATCTCACATTAAGCAGTGCGACCAGCCTTAAGCAATTGTCCCGTGGGCTTTGCAGTCATACATCAATTATCATACCCTTTCTCCAGAAAAAACCAACTTTTCAGGATGTGGAATGTCGGGGAGCAGCAAAAACCAAACCACACTTCAATAAACACAGATAGTTCTTCTGTTCATCGCTCGGCCTTTCCATTTTCTTCGCTTTAATCGCAAAATAATTTCTTCTTCTGACACGTCCTAATCAGAGGACTTGCTCTTCTTATTTAACACTTCACACCTAACGTCAATACTACATACTATATTATACCGCTTAACAAGGGAGAAAAGACGCAGACACCTATGGTCAAGAACATCTAGCCCCCTCAAGTCTTCCCCTGTTTAAATGGCCACGTATCAAAACCATAAAAGAAGGCCAGAGTGAAATTCTGAGCATTATATACGTCCTTTGGTCGATAGCCGGATATCACACCTACTCCAGAGATGACCTAACTGAGCCTTTAGTCTCCAAGTTCAGATTTCGTCAGCAATTAGTCCGTTAGGGCTGATGCAACTTCCCAAATAAGTGAAGTGGTCAACATGCTCAACCATTTCACTCTTTATTCTTAAACTTGGATTAGGTGCAGGGCAGTTCTGCATCATCCGCCTACGTCTGTAACGGGTGAGCTGCATACCATACCAGGACTTCTGCTCATTTTGTTCAGAATATTGAATTTCGTCAGTGTCTTCACCCAAAAGCAGAATATCATCTGAATACTCTACAATGATGGGACTGTACCTTGGTTACAGGTCAATTTCTTAGTCACTATAGTCGGCTACAGTCACATCCATCAGTACATCTGTGAAATATTGACTTGATTAACTACTGAGCAGTTATGTAATTCTGAGATGGCTGATAACAGGAATTTACAAGGAATGGAAATCTTCTAAAGGTAATCACGAATGAGTCAGTTAGGACAAAACACAAAGATTCTAGGTTCCATGATCGTGTAAAGATTCCGTAAGGTCTTGAGTAAAGCAGTCATTTGAAGTAACGAAAACGAGTCGTTCACTGTTACTACTTTGATCTTTCAAACACTGGCGTGCTACTAGAGAAAACTGTTGGTTTACAGCACACAAATGATATAGTACTAAAAGTACTACTAAGGTGAAAACAATGACAAAATGTAGTCTTCTGGACACCTTGAGTGCAAAAATAAGTCTGTTAGGCATTTCATCTGCCTTTGTCAAATGATGCAGTACTGGTCTGTAGTAAAAACTAGTTTAAAGATAAAAATTGAAGTGACTGAATGCGTAAACCACTTCACTTATCTGAGAAGGTATATCAGCCTTAGTAGAATGATAGCTAACAGAATCTAAGTACGGGCATAAAAGCTAGTCTGATATCTGCCTACTTGCGTCATCAGTGACTCAAGTGTGATATCCAGCTACCTACCAAAAGATGCGTGTACCATGCAGCAGTTTGTTCGGTTCTACATTACCTCATAGTTTCAAAACATGATCAATGAAAGTAGCAGGTCTATGAGGGCTCCAACTTTTTTAACATTATTGTCATTATAATATCGTCCACTACTGTAAAAAAATATATATTAGTTAAGCATTAAAGTTGTGGGCGAAACAGAAAAATCAGTCGATTAATTCATAAATATTTTCTGTATGATATGGTTTGTGTCTAAATATACCTAATTACCGTATTGAAATCCAACCCGACTGTTAGAATTGGTCAAACCAGAGCCTGAGACCAACCAATGAAGTTACTAACTATTATCGAGTGACTAATTGTTTAGCTACTACTCCTAGGGTGCTAAGAAATAAGACTTCCAAGGAGACGGTTTGAAAAAGTTCATTGTAACACAGGTGCATTCACTCTCTATCCTCATCGAAATTATGAATATTTTCACTGATCTCCATAGGTTATACTACCACTTACCAGAGTCGAGAAAATTCCTGCTCGACTGAACGGCTAAAACTTGAAAGGATAAGATTTAGTGGGAAATCACAACATAAAGGTAAATGTTTAATCTTCATATATTTCATCTAATTGCTATTTAGTGCAACATGTTGACACACACATATGTAGTCAAAAATATACACACTCCAAATAAAATGTTTACAAATAGAGAAATTGAAGATTTTACACCAGAAGCATATATTTATAAATATGAATATCATTAGTTAAGAAACTAAGTTACAAATTAAGTCATGGAAGAGATAAATTGTAACCAGAAGTCTGTACATATAACAGTGTAGTTACAGGTATCACAAAATTGTCAATCATCGTACTCCTTTAAGACGCCATAATCCGTCATTTAGGTAATGTATATTCTCAACTCCAATACCCTTATTGATAGTCAAGCTAACGATAAAAAAAGAACAAAATGAATAGTATGAGAAACAGTTATAATGAAGCTATTGTAAGTTAATCTGTTAACCATTCAGTAAATACTTTTATGCACAAGATGGTGCTTCTTGAGACGTTATGCTAGGACTGTTTTTTTCAGAACTCACGTCTGAACTGATAGTTAATGTAATAAGCAAGAGGATTAGAGTAAAACTAATATTTCCACAACTTATAGTTTGTAAGGTTGTAAAAAACTTGACAAATAAAGACTTATAATCCACATTTACTTAGTCAAAATTACCCGAACGAAATGAAAATATTATGTACTAGAAAAATCTACTTCAGTGAGAAAGCTTGCGAAGTCAGCGAGCACGGTTTGTATTTATACGACTACTAATTCAGCGCTAACTAAAGACTAAATTTCAGATAAAGAAATCACAATATCTTCCGAGAACACATTTACAGTGTAAATTTAAAAGCACCAATCAGTAATTTCACGGATTTCTATAAAAACACCAAAACACTTAAAATCTATTAAATAACTTCAAATCTTAGTCAAAACTAAACGGGACAGTATCTAATGGGTGATATATCGAAGACAAAATAATTGAGGAACAATTATTATTGCCACCAATGTCACTATAGAGAAGCTAGTTTTCCGAGTCATTGATAAACCAGATGTTTATCTTCAAGATACACAGATTCATAAATAAATGCATCATTCTCTACCTAGTCACGTAAAAACACTGAAATTTTAAAAGCAGTGAATAAAGACACTAAGAGTAAGATGTTTATGGTGTAGCTATACATAAAACATGAGAACCAACTTATCAAATCTATATCAGATCTGATGTCTACAGACAAATTTACCCGTAACTGGGACAGTGAAGTGAAGTATTTTTGAAAGTCAGTTTCCGTGTTTGAAAAAATTCTCAACTTTCCCAGTTACGCTAACAAACCTATCAACGATATGCATGAGAAAACTCTAAAGCATACAACCATGCAAATCTGTTGCATACAGTTGCAGTTCTCAAGAGATGAATGATGCTCTTGTATTATAAATTAAAACGACTGCCTATATTGCAAACAAATGAGTGAATGAACGAACAAATTCACTATATCTTATTAGTGAAGAATGAAATGCTTTGTCAGACTAACAGGATAATATACATTGATTCTTTTGCTAAATGGTTGCAAAGTTCATGCTTTGAAATATCTAAAGTGAAATGCAATCACGTCAAATCACCGAAGTTTAGATCACGTGATCTTTAAAAAACAAGGTAGAGTAGCACTATTCTTCCTTTCCTAATTGCTAACCCATAACAGTAATTAATTGGTGAATGGTGACTAGCAGTGGAATCCAGGATGCGCATTTTGTCCTATTTAGGACTTGTCGTCTGGATGTACCTGCATTCCGCAGTAAATGATGATGTTTCCACTTCATGACTAATGGGAATCCACCATTTTGTACACAAAGTGCCTGACATCTTCAATAGGTATACTTTCTAAACCATACCCAAAACGTGTAATATCGACGAAAAATTAAAATTTTCAACCAAATGCTTTCTTGTGCTTCATATAGGTTACAATTAATACAGAAAATTTACAAATTTAACTGTGTCTGTAAAAACCAAATGGATGAAGTGTATTTAGAATTACTTTTAATTAAGTATTTAAAATTTGCTACAGCCAAAACCTGGCTTTTCAAAATGCAGATACGAAAAAAACTTAATGGCTTACATTTCATCAGTAGATAATAAGGTAACACCGACTGCAAGAGCATTTTTCTTGCCTTCTGCCATTATGGCAACAAGAGATTCCTTAGATACTTCTGACATTCGAGCTCCAGGAGATGTCAAACCCGGACACATTATGTTTGAACCATTCAAAACATGTTTAATAGCCCCTCTATCAACTTGCAAATGAGGTAGGATGAAAGGATCTAGAGAAATTTCATAATAGGGACCGATAAAATAATAATGTATTAAAGAGATGTATTAATAAGATCATATTTCCTTATAGATGACAACCTCAATAACAGGATATTAGTATAAGCAAGACTGTCAGGAAGGAGTTATACGTCGTAAGATGACTATCGGTTTAAAAATGACGGATTTTATTGTAAGCGAAACGTTCAGATCGAAGACACCTGCATGTTTCTGTACGGGAAGATTCCAAGTAATCCGGATGACATAAGCAAGGGAATGATGAACAAAATGAATTGGAAAATTATACTAAACATATCGGAATTCAACATACAAGTAACAATATGAGTATAACCCAGAACTGCTTGTTAAATACAGAACTAGGTGGCTGAAATATTAGTTGCATTTTCACAAATTACGAATGACGGTTAGTGACGAGCCGGGATTTGGAAATGCTGAATACTTTCATTTCTCTAGCGAATTTTTACTTTATTCACTATTGCTTCAGTGACCAAAACAATCTTTAGTAAACACTGATAAAAGATAGTTGTGAAGACAGAAAATACTACATGTTACAAGCCGGGTTTACATAAACAAAATGCTGCATTTCAGCTGCTTCAGGCTCAGTTGGCCTATATCGGATTACAATTGCTCAAAAATCCAACCTGAGTGAGGACGTGGAAGTTAGTCCAGCTCTGACGCGAATTACCAAATGCCTAAATTCTAAAACGAGACAAAGCAGCAGGACCTGATTGCTTGAGTTTAGGAGAGTTTAAGGGCCGCGGTAGGGACTTGATTTGAATAACTGCAGTGCAAGTTAGTCTATGAGAATAGATATGATTCGTCAAAACTAATGTATATTTTTCATCATTCCAGTTTATGGAAGCAGTACATGTCATCTTGAGAAAATATTAAGCACCTAATATACTGTCTACGGTGCAAGGAGCACAAATATACATAGGATAAGTAATATAGTAAAATTTAAACGGAAAAGAGCGCTGACCCTGACTTTTCGAAAAATTCTGGAAAATGGAGCTACTAACCTTGTTACATTTCATGATCTGAAGTGGCCACTGACTGAGACGATTTGGAGATGACTAGCTGCAACTACTGTAGTCTGAAAGAAGTGTTGGTTTAACTAATTTCTATTCATTTGTAAAGGTACTGTTTGACGAGGCTTAAACTACGAATTCACTTTTTATCAGGTAAAGAACTAGTTAATGTAAGCAGTCGATGTGATTGGGTTAAAAATAAACATACCCAAAAACTTTGAATATGCTTAAAATGCATTTAGATACTGCTGAATACATGGTGATGTAATAAAACTTGTGGGAAACGACACCTGTATCTTAATTCGGAGTGATCGGTACAAAGACAAGCTGTATACGAATGAGCTGAGCAGATAGATCAGCCCAAATGGCCAGTTGTGGACAACATCTTAACACAGAGACGTCCCAATAGAAATTTACTAGCTTGAAATAGCCTTAACGGCCTTTCTTTTATTTAAATCATATTAACTATGCGACTGTCTGCGTAAGCGTACTGTCTACGTCTAATCATTACTACTATGCATCTGGAGAAGCCGAAAGTTTTGCTTTTAATTACTTTTGAGAATAAATTTCTGGCAGTAAGAAGAAACCAGAACGACTGAAAACTACTTACATTTATGTAGTAATTTTAACGACGGAATGAAAGGGCCTTCCCTTTGTCGGAAAAAAAGTATCTCCCCCTCCGAATCAGCATAAAGATCCACATGTTCATGGCTAATCAATTGAAAGGAAAACAACCACATCCTACCACTTGACATGTTTCACAACGTCTTTCTTTGGTAAGATCTGGTCAACCATCTCCTTATCAACACCATAATCTTCACTCATTCGCGTGCGTATAGCTTTGACTATGGAATTTTTTGCATTGTTGATACAAGAAATGTCTTCTTTTTCGTCAAACCTACCGAGAGTGTAAGAACACCAGTTGCACTCACTTCTTAAACATTGTAACGCAAATCTGAAATTGCGCGCTGACTGAATACAATGCCCAACAGACAGTGAGGCGATAGAACGCATCGAATAAGCTGGTAGTATACAACCACAGCAAGACATTCCAGTGAAACATTGTAAATGATAGTACATTCGTGGAAAATTAGGGAAGTAAATACCTATTTATCGTCGGACCATTAGTATTCACAGTTGTTTACGTTCACAAGAAAAAGTTATCCTTAGCTCAGGGTTATTCTAGGCACTATTGATCAAAGAAAATAAGCAGTGGCATTTAATTGGAAGTGAATAAGGTGCAGTGTTTTTATGCTTGATGTTGACTAAATTAGTTGCATTTAAGATAAATTGGTTAAAGTTTGTTCTAGGGAATACTTCAGATAATTCAGCAAAACCGATAATAACGTATAAACTGAATTATCAGCCGCCAGCAGAATTTGTTTTTACAAAGCAAATGGTAATTTAGAGGTTATTGGTTGGTCAGTTTTGATTTCCATACTTTAACTTCACTAAATATGAGTGTTGATTAGCCCTGTCGACTTGGGGCAGAAATTATCCCGCATGCTTAAGGTCATTGGAGGGATTAAGCGGCTGAACGTCATCTTCAGCCATGTAGGATTGCCGTTCCCTAAACGTCTGTTCATACTTTGAAGTTAACGATAAACTTTCAGTTATTCACAAATTATCTTGATGCATATTGTTCACAAACGTTGCGTTTCAACTCATTTTCGTTCCCCTTGCTGTTGGAATTAGATACTTCGTTTATTACGGAAGTTTCTACCACCGAATCAGTTCATCTTAATTGTTTCCATGCCTGCATTCATCCGTGGTTTCAGCGTTGCAGTTTTTCAGCTGTTGTTTCAATATGACTCTGTAGGAGTTTTCGAAATTATGCACATGAATAGGTTTGGGTTGCAGAAGCTGTCGTTTCCAGTTCCTTTGTTGGTTGTCATTATTGTTTCCATCTCAGATGGTCACTAAATATGTGAAAATCTGGAAAAACAACGTCTATCACGTTAACATTCATGCTATCAAAACATAAACGAATCAATCTAGTGAAGAAAGCACGACCAGACTTGATATTAGCAAGGTTTTCGAGGAACATATTAAGCCTGCTGTCAGTGTAGCTGAAGAATTAACGATCAATTCATGGTTGTTTGCTCAAACCCAACTTCCCTATATTTTCGCGGAGGCATCAATCGGCCAATCATCGTCTCATCATTCGCTGTTCAGAAGGAACGTGAAAAAGCCGTCAGAAACCTTAGTTTATTATGCTGCTTATATATTGGTGTTAGAATAAAGAATTCTCGAGTCACAAATCGGTGTTCTGGTTTTCGCGTTCGCTAGTACTAAGTGTTTCTGAAAGGTTTCAAGGGACAGCGAGAGGCCCGGCGTAGCAAGAGCTGGGCATTAACGGTCTTTGAGACGTGATTGACAGTTGCTGACGGTTGGTGACAGTTTCCGAAGTTTGGGTAGTCTCCGTCCGCCATTCCTGGTGCCGTCTGCTTTGAAAAAGCGTTATCTGGAACTTTCTGGAATTTCGGTTACGTTCAATGATGCGTGGGTCAAAGAAGGGACAGAGCGTCTCGGAAGCAAACAGGAAAGTAATTCATATTTACTTCTGTTACATGTAACGATGTGTTTGATGTAAAGCACGACATGGTTGATGTTAATGTTTCGCCATCTAGGGACAAAAGGAATATTCAGTTTCTTTAACACGAGCCTCAGTGTTTCGATGGAAACCCAGCTGACTATCCACAGTATGTAAAGAAGTTTGAAGTCATGTTGGTTGGGTTTGCATAAAATGATGAAATGAAGTTGATGTGTTTGTTGAGGTACTGCACTGGAGTTGATTGAAGAGCTATACAGCGCTGTAAGTTGATGCCCCCAAACGAAGAATACTCTGAGGCTATGAGTATACTGCGTCAAAGATTCGGAAGACCTTCGGTGATTGTAGGGAACGTATTCGAGGCTGTTTAAGGTAATGGTAGTCAATTACAAGATGACTCCAAGGCACTCTCTGAGATTTTGGATAATCTGTTCACTTACAAGAATGGATTGATTTAGATGAATTGCATGAGTGATCTGAACTCAAGTTCCGTCCTAGAGGTAATAGCGGGACGCATACCTACCCGACTGCAAAGGAAGTGGGTAAAGATAAGTTCCCGTATGGAGGATGAGGGTATCGAGCCAAAGTTCGATGATATTCTGAAACTGGTAAACGATAGTGTCAATGAATCTATGAGCAAGTTTGCCAGTATATTGCATCCCACCATTAGAATAGAGCCGTCTGAGGGCGAAACGCAATCATTGATGATGAAAGGATCTCAGAAAGCTGGATATCTAGAAAACTCTACGAGGTCTAGTAACCCGTATAAACGTAGTGAGTGTAACAGCTTTCGTGGGACATCCCCAACAGATGGGTTACAAGCTGCAAGACAAGCACGGTTGTGTTTTACACGTTTGCATGAAGTGCACAAAACGGCGAACTGTGAAGTGACAAAGTTTAGTGGTAAGCTAAATGTGAAATCAAGGTCTGACCCCGAATTCTGTGGCGATAATGGTGCGGTTATAAAGCCTGTGGTTGCAACTGGTAAGCCATTGTTGAATAGAGTGTCACAGAAATTAGTAACAGTCTCAGAGGGCAGCTCTGACTCCGCAAGTTTACAAGGTAATACTAGTCAGAGTGAAGGGATTAAACCACTAAAGATTTGTGAGGAGGAACCAAAATTGTCTGCTTCTGTTATGAAAGAGTTTGAAAATGATGAAGTTGACGGTAAAGTGAATATTCGTGATAATGATCATGATAGTGCACATTTGTCTTTGGTTGATCATGATGAAATGAGGTGAATGCCTACTACTGCTGAGTTGAACAATGTTTCTGTACAACTACAACGTGAAGTAGAATTAAATGCAGATGCAGTTGCAGAAGGCATGCATACTTGTGAGACCGTCAGTGTGATTGATCAGCATGTAGCCCACCTATCATCAGATGTTAGTGCTAAACCTGAGCTGATAGTAGAAGGCAGCAGTTTTGTTAGTTTTGCAGTTAAACAAATTTCTGAAAGTCGAGCAACAACAGCTTCTGATCCACCGCTAAGTTCATCAACTGGTATCAATCAGTCGTCGTTGGTGTTGTCATCCACAATGAAACAGACGCCCATCAACTCAAGTATCTTGTGCAATGAGTATGATAGTATTGGTGCATTTGAAAAGACGAAAGATATTGGTCAGTTTAGTGAGAATAAGCCAAGTGTAAACGAGAGAGTTATTGTTAAATTGACTTGCAAGAATAAAGGCGTTTTTAGTTTCAAGTTACTATTTGAATGCTATTATCTTTGGTGTAAATTAATCTGTTTCTACGCTTGGTTGACCAGATACGGCGTGTGTTTATTCGTAATCTGTATTTTACGATACAGTGACATGAGCGTGTTACCGTTCAGATTTGAGGATATAGCTGATAGAAGGAAGTCAGCAAATAAACTCTGCGACGATTTTCCAACCTAGGGCGTCAACCTGAGAAGGGTTGTAGGCGTACTGCTGTAAGTCCTGCAATTCTTCAAAGGGTAGCGCATCAATGAGCAGCCCAACGTGCTTCGTGTGTGATTTTGTACATATGTTCATGTTGTATATACTGAATTGATATCATCTGTCATCTAGCTGTTGGTAATTTTGTTTGTGTCTGAACGACTTCCACTTGTATCATCAACCTGAGAAGGAATGTAGGCGCAATGCTGTAAGTCATACAGTTCTTCAAGGGTACTTCGTCATGGCAGAATCCACAACATTTGATGTATTGATCGTACATATGTTCGTGATAAGTAATTGAGTGGGTTCCAATTACTGTAATCGCTGGTTAATCTTGTTTGTGTCCGGACATTCTTCAACTTACAATCGTCAACCTGAGAAGGGTTGCAGGCGTACTGGTGTAGGTCCTGCGATTCTTCAAGGGAATTCCATCAAGACATGATCCGCGAGGTTATGTGTACTGTTTGTATACATGTGTGGTGTGTCATATCAATTGGTGTTTTTGGATTCACTCTGTTTACTTGTTGTTTTCGTACCTTGTTGTTATTGCATAATTATGTTAAATTGTTCGTTGTGATTACTTCTGAAGTTGTGTCCACTCTTCTACATCCGTGAATGAATTGATTAATGTTACAGACAGCAGATGGGTCGTATACGCCGGGGAGGCTAGTTCTGAGAATGACATGTACACGGCGATAATGATTAGCTGAGGAGCGAGAGCGTAGACGACTGAGGCTCGCATACGTCACCGTTGCTAGAACTGAGGCAGAATGAGTGACAAGTGATCGCAATGATAATTGATAGTGAATAGATAAGAGGATGTCCGAAGAGTATCATGAGATGGTGCTATGGTCACGTTGCACTCTGCAAGAGTCATTCTAGCAAGTGGCGATTGTGTTGCAAGATGTCAAGAGGAGGTCTCTGTCTGGAGGCGCAGGTCGTCAGCGATGTGTGAGATTGTGCTGTGGGTATGACTGTGGTGTGTTGGCTTTTCTGTTTGTTTCCCATTTCAGCTCTGTCCATGTGACCCAGATTCTCGCAATGGCATCCAAGTCAACGTGTATTGGTCGTGATGGAGAAAAGGGATGGATCGGTTTTTTGCCCGGGAGTGTCAATGTAGTTGACGATTGAACGATCAATTCGTGGTTGTTTGCTCAAACCCAACTTCCCTATATTTTCGCGGGGACATCAATGCACCAGTCATCGTCTCATCGGTCGCTGTTCAGAAAGAAGTCAGCAGTAAACTGTCAGAAACCTTAGTTTATTATGCTGCTTATATATTGGTGTTAGAATAAAGAATTCTCGAGTCACAAATCGGTGTTCTGGTTTCCGCGTTCGCTAGTACTAAGTGTTTCTGAAAGGTTTCAAGGGACAGCGAGAGGCCCGGCGTAGCAAGAACCGGCCATTAACGGTTTTCGTAGTGTGATTGACACCTTGAATATTTAGATCCTGGTTTGAGGTTGGTGAAGCTTC